GTTTAGATTTTAAGCCCTCACCCCTGCGTTTGACCCTGTGTGTGCTTCTGTCCTTCATGGAAAAGAGCGCAAAAGCTCAGAAGGTCAAGGGAGGCAAAGCGAGAAGAAGTGAAGAGTACAGTCAATGCAGAGTGGTTTACAGAAAGGGCATAAAGTTGGGGGGCCTGGATGGCTCAGTCAGTTGAGCATCCAACTTCGTCTCAGGTCATGATCTCGCGGTTCGTGGATTCGAGCCCCACGTTGGGCTCTGTGCTGACAGCTCAGAGCCCGGAGCCTGCTTCGGATCCTGTGTCTCCCTCTCTCTCTGCCCCTCCCCTGCTCATGCTCTGTCTCTGTCTCTCAACAATAAATAAATGTTAAAAAATATAAAAATATAAAAAGAAAAAAGAAAGGGCATAAAGTGAGAGCATCCATGGCTCAAATGATTGTTTTCTGTGAAATAGATGTCAGAAACACAATTGTCTGCACAGGGTGGATGGGGGTGAGAGGTGACAGTCTGAAGGTAGCACTGAAGAGAAGCTAAAAAGGAAAAAGCCAGGGGTCATGAGTTTTCAGGATGTCAGTCTGCACAGTTGTGATCTGCACTGTAGTGCTCAGAAACTCAGGGACTTTTCTAGAAGGGGAGATCTTTCAACAAAATGGGTACTGAGCAGTTACGAGAGCCACACCCAGCACTATAGTCCTGGTCCTCACCCAGCAATTAAGAATCTCCCCGATCCTTGCCTCTGTCTCACCACCTGCAAGGCAAGAGTCTGCAACCATATGTTTTCTTGGCTTCCCATCAGCTCTTGTAGAATCTCCACTTCTAATTGTTCCAAGTCTCACAGCCTGTCAGTATCACCCTGGCCATCTTCCCTCTTCCTGAAGTAATAACAACTCTATGCCAGACACAGATTACCCTAATGCATTCAATGACTCCTTGAGGCAGGCATTATTATGATCCCGTTTTGTAGGTGAGGAAACCGGGGCTCAGGGAAGGTACAGAAATCGTCCAAGTATGCACGGCTTAACAAGTGGTAGAACAAGGTTTTGAACCCACATGGTCTGACTTCAGAAGATAGATTCTCGGTTCTTGGTCTACAGTATTTCCCTCTAAAGATGATTGAAGAAACCGAGAAAGATGTTCAGAAGATCTTTTAGGAATTTAAGAATTTCAGCCAGTCTGAGAGCGGTTCCTTCCACTAAATCCCAGACCTCACATCCTGGTTTCAAAACAAACCCAAGCTGAGATTCCCAAATCTCTTAAGAACCGAGCCAAAGGAATTTCGTGAACGACTTGGTTCTTTCCCCGAATTGACACAAATCTCCCCGGGACCTATCCTCACACCTGCCATCCTGTAGTTAGAAATACAAGTTCACATCTGATTTTGCCCCTGGTCAAAATCATTCCTGCTACATCTACTTCCTGGGCAATGGCTGCCATTTCCTTAACGAGTCAGCTGAGTTGTGTATTTCTTGCTTTCTACTAGATTCTGCTTTTCTGCTTCTCCCCAGGCCACGCTGTTTTGAGGACTGACCAAGGGAAGACACAGGTATTCCGAAAGGCCCCTGGGCATCGTTCAGGATCAAACCAGTAGCCCTCACGGGGAAGGCTTCCGCACTTCTCCAGAACATAGTACATCATCGACTGAACAACCATTGTACCTACCCAAGCACGATTTCTCTCTACAAAAGGAATATCGGAGCCCAGCTCTTCCTTCTGTCTGGACACGTACCCACTCCATTTTTGCCACGTAGAAAACTGCCGTATCGTTGTAGGTATATCTCAAGTGGCAGTTTCTACATGAAGTCTTTGCAGACGCTCAGAGCCAATGGAATCTTCTCCTCTGAGCCCCCGTATCACTTCCTTGTAAACATCCATTACGATGCGGATCGCTAGTTGTGTCTGCGTCTTTCTAGTTATGAACAGGGTTTCATTTTCACAGAAGCATGAGGCAGGGCTGGGACACTCTCGGTCTGCAGGCCGGCCACCAAGTCGCCTTCCACTCCCGCACCCTCAGCCAGGGCAGCACGTTCTAGAATCTGGTCCTCAGCCCCACGGGCCTGGGAACTCAATTTCCGAAGCACTTTAGAATATGTAATTGCTTAGGGAGATGTTCTCATGGGAACTCATTTCACCAAGCTTTAACAAGCGCGCAGAATAGCGACAAACTGATTGTAAATAGTACACCGACAGGCTCAGATAACGGTGTGATGAGAAATCTTCAGGAACCCGGGGAGGAACGGGATGTATTAGTTTATTGAACAAAAATAATTGCCTGCACCAGCCGATGCTGCTGAAATGAACCCAGCTCTCCTATAGGGCTTTATCCGTCACAGGCTAGAGAAGACCCTTCTATATGGGCAGAGTTAGGGGATCACCGAACGTTTATATCTGTGCCATCCGCGTTTCTTCTGTCCGAACCCGGCTTGTCTAAATAGGACGATACAATTCATTGGGGCTCCATTGTCTATATGCTACTCTGTCCCCTTTACCACCATGTCAACCCGAGACAGTTACCAACTGTTCTCAAGCTCTTCGGTCCCATGATAGTCATGTCTTGATTTCCTCCCGTCGCTAGTTCGAATCCCATCCGCTGAGTGAAGATTTTACTAGTGTGATGCTCAGAACGAGCCCTAAGGTGTAGGCTGTATACGTTTTCCTAAGAGCACAGTGCATCTTGCCTCTTTTTAGGTTTATAACACGGCGCCTGGCTTAGTGTAAATTCCTAGTACAGATCGGTGTTAACTTGAATGTGCCTTATTCAGCTGTTTATTTCACTCAGGAGGCAACCTTGGCAGAACCAGCACGAATTTGGAGAATGCCAGTGCCCCTACCAAGTGGGCGGTGTGTTCAATATAATAATAAGCCCAATTTGTCATTTAGTTGGCTAGCTCTAAAAATAATGACTGCCAACATTTTCAAACCAGGAAAGAAATTGCAGTGATGGTACTCGTTAAGTTACATCATTGTCAAATCAGTAATTTTATTTTATTTTTTTGATTGTTTACAAATGTTTATTTATTTCGAGAGAGTGAGAGCAAGCCCGGGAGGGGAAGAAAGAGAGAGAGCGGGAGAGAGAGAATCCCAAATGGGCTCTATGTTATCAGCACGGAGCCCGATGTGGGGCTTGATCTCACAAACGCTGAGATCATGACCTGAGCCGAAATCAAGGTTCGGATGCTTAACCGGCCGAGCCACCAAGGCGCCCCTCATATCAGTAATTTTCAGACAGTGGTTCTCAAACTGTGGTCTCTGGAACAGTGCGTCAGTATCACATGGAAACTTGAAAGAAATGCAAAGCCCTGGAGTGCCTGGGTGGCTCAGTGGGTTAAGCGACCCACATCGGCTCAGGTCATGATCTCACGGTTCATGAGTTCAAGCCCCGAGTCAGGTTCTCTGCTGTCAGCTCAGAGCCAGAGAGCCCGCCATCTCCACCACCCCCCCCCCGCCGCTCATGTTTGTGCTCTGTGTGTGTGCGTCCGTGTGTCTCAAAAAATAAATAATATAAACATTTAAAAAAAGAAGAAATGCAAAGCCTTATGTCCCTCGTCAGACCTACTGAAGCAGAAACTCTGGGGGCAGGGCTCAGCAATGTGGTTTAACCAGCTCTTCAGGTGACCACACACACTTATATTATGCTGGTTTGTTCACAACCTCACACGTGATTTCAATGGGCCCCTCAAATCTCATACAGCCTGAGACTGATAGCGTATTCGTCGGTAAAACAGGGCAACCCCTGGGATACGCCAGTTAGCTGACATATGTTTCATATAATGCTGTGTGCAAGGGTCACATTAAATCACAACCATATTTGGTCGATGTGTGACTAAAGACAGTCCTGATAATCACATAGGGGCAAGTATGGTAAGCCAAAACAGCCCTGAAATGATTAAGTCATTAAGAGCGAACCTGTTTGCCGGTTATAAAGCCTAGTTACTAAAACATCAGGAAAGAGGAGAGAAGGCAAGATATCACCAACACGTCCAAGTAAGGCTGTTTTCATTCCAGGGACGGAGAAGGGAACGCACTTGAGGTTGGGCCTAGGCAAGACAATTAAGAAAGCATATTTGGGGCATCGGACTTTGAGAAGCCTTGCCCGATTGCTTGCTTTCTTGCTGTGCAGAAAGGCTAGAGCTGGATCCCCAAGTCCCTACAACGCTTCCCAGATGCCCTCTGCTGCCTCTGTGGGCGACACTCCATAGCCCTCTGTGATTAGAAGTAGCAGACGGAATCTCATCCAGACCAAATGAAGCCCAGGGACATATGCCCTATTCCTGGGGTGAACATATGATTACTGTGTCCAATTTTAATGACTCTTGTGTAGCTATAGCTTCTGCTATAGTTTCAAAACTATCCCACCTTTGGGGCACCTGGCTGGCTCAGTCCATACAGCATACAACTCTTGACCTCAGAGTTGTAAGTTCAAGCCCCATGTTGAGTGTGGAGCCTACTAAAATAAAATAAAATAAAATAAAATAAAATAAAATAAAATAGTCCAGTTTTTACAATAAACTATCTGATCACTATAACTATTACTCAAGTGTTCTCTCCTTCTCCCCCTCCTCCTCCTCCCCCTCCTCTTTCTCTCTCTCTCAGTCTGGCTTCCTTCCTCATTCCCTCTCTCTACCCTCCTCCCCTTCTTCCTCTGTTCATATTTCCTGCCATCACTAAAAAAATTTAACAGACCTCCTCATGTTCTTGGAATCCAGCTGCAGAGACCATGGAGTATTGCACAACTGATCCCAGCACTCCACGGGTGTCACTAGATGTGGTGTGGTCGGACCCATTGGAATTATGCAGTTCCCAACCTGCACAGATATATGCGATGATGTCCTACAGGGAGACCTTAGTGTGAGAGCTTAAACTCCAGCCCGGATCCATCTGTCCAGTCCCTGAATCTCCAGATGATTTGCTTCCCCCAAGCTGATAAAATCTGGGGCTATGCAATGACTTGGAATTCTTGGAATTGGAATTTTATATGCAAAACTGATCAGGACCATGCCACATATTCATTTCCCACTTCTCACACTTGGCTTGTTCCATCACTCAATCTAATTTTGACCTCTAACCTTTTGACTAAAGATCTAGTTGACCTTTGACATCTCCATCGTCTGCAAGGTACGGTCTCTGTTTTTCACCTCCTTGTTCCATGTTCCAATCTGCATATCATCTGTCTTCTCCATCTCCAGGTGGTTTCCTACAAAATAAATGGAGAACAGAACATGATGACCCTAGGAAATCAACCAATCCAGAGACCATTCTCTGCCCCCAGGAGACCAGATATGCCCATACTTCCTGGTCTTGGAAAAGGTCATCTCAACTCAATTTCTCTGGTATAATCTACCCTAGCTTAGGTTCCTTTAGCACGTCCCTGGAACAGATATGGCTACTGTGCAGATCACAGAACAGAGGATCTCCAAGAACAATTTTAGTCACTAAAAAACTTAGAGCACAGGACATCCAAATACTCCAGATGGCTCAGTGGAGAGAACCCCGAGATAGGAGTTGTGGGCTCTGGGGAGAGTATGTAAAGATGCACTTCTGAAGAGCAGCTCGGTAACCCCCAACCCAGGAGCTCTGCCTTACAGTCCCCCACTGGGGCTTCATACCAGCCTCCTGAGAGAGGTTAGGACACACAGTGCACTATAGGCATAGGATGAACTCTTCTGGGAAGTCCATGGGAATGTGCCCAGTGGTTTACCCAGGACTCACACTGGGCATGCCCCTCTTTAGCAGGAGGGCATTTCCCTGCTGCATTGTGTGCAACCTTGTTAGGAATACTGGCTTGTGTCTTTGCTTATCCTCTATGGTCTTCCCATAAAGCAAGAGTCTAGGATGCACTTCCAAAATGGCAGACCCTTCTACTTTCACTCTGCTTAACTTGAAGTTACTAGACATCCTACAGAACTGACTCATCCTTGCCTCTCTCACAACCCTCACTGAAAACCCTTCTGCCAAGATCACCTCTTGACTGGCAAGTCAAAGTATGACTTTCCATTTATACTGTACTTATTTTGTTGGGTTTGATTTTATTTCTTCGATTTTTTAAAATTATGTACTCTATTTACTATATTTAGTAATAATATATTTATTATAATGTATTTGTTATTTACCCAGGCATAGATCAGTAATTATCAGTGGATACAGAACAATGCCAACACTCTGAAGAATACCCTTCTTTTGCCTCTTTGTGTTCAGACTCTCTCCCCACCTTTAACCGTCAGCAACCACCGATCAGATTGCCACTCTTATATCTTTCACTTTTCCAGAATGTCCTATACATGAAATCATGCAATATGTAATATTTTAAGACTATGGCCTTTCCCTCGGCACAGTGGTTCTCCATCAGGGCACTTGGCCATGTCTACAGACATTTTTAGTTGTACTAAGTTGGAAAGGTAGAGGGGTACTGCCTCCTCTGCATAGGAGTGGCCTTTCCAGAGATGTGGTTAAATAACCCCAAAACAAATTATACAGCCCCCCAAAAAAGTCAAGAGCCATGATTTTGAAAAACCTTGACGTAGCACAATTCTCTTAAAATTTATGTGTAGTATCACATGTGTCAATAGTTCATTCTTTTTCAGTGCTGAGAAGTATGCCACTGTGTGGACGTAATACAGATTGCTTATCCTTTCACCTTCTGAAAGACATGTGGATTGTTTCCACGTATGGGCAGCTTTGACTAATGCTGCTACGCATATTCACGGATAGGTTGTTTTTTTAAGTTTTTATTCAAATTCTAGCTCATTAACATACATGGATAGTGTTTGATTTAACGTAAGTTTCACTTTTCTAGCATGCATACCGAGAAGTGGGATGTCAGGGTCACATGGTCCCCTACATTAACTTTGGAGAAACTGACCGAGGTTTTCTGGAGCGGTTACATTTCCACCAGTCATGCTTGTACGTTCCTTCTGCTCTGCCTTCTCAATAGCGATTTGACCATACTTTGATTTATGCCAGGATTTGACCCTGCAGATTAAGAAATAGAACGTTATTGGGGTGCCTGAGTGGCTCAGTTGGTTAAATATCGGACTCTTGATTTCAGCTCAGGTCATGATCTCATGGGATCACGGGATCTTGTGGGATGGAGCCCTGAGTTGGGCTCCATGCTGAGAGTTGAGCCTGCTTAAGATTCTCTCTCTCTCTCTCTCTGAAAAAAAAAAAAAAAAAAGGAAATAGAACATTACCGGCATCCCAGATCCCTTCCCATTACCACCCACCACCCACTCAAAGGTAAACACCATTCTAGCCTCCAATAGCAGAGGTTCAATTTCAATGCTTTGAACTTAATATAATTGAAATCATAAAATGCATACTCTTCAAGGTCTGGCTTTTCTCTCTCAATATTTTGTTTTTGATACTCATCCCTATTATTGCGTGTAGCTGTGATCGTTAACACTCTTGGTTACATAATACCTCCTTGCGTGATTTACTTCCTATTCTGGATGAACGTTTGCTTTTCTTTTGACTGAGGTTTAATTTATATTCAATAAAATGTATCAATTTTAAGTGTGCAGTTCAACAGGTTATAGAAAACATATATACTCACGTGAACACCGACATTACGTAAATACAGGGCATTTCAACACACCAAAAAGATTTCCTCATTCCCCTTTGTCTGCATTCCGCTCTGGTACCCACTCTGGCACCCCCACATCAATCCACTTCTGTCATAATTGCTTGCTCTTTTCCAGAGTGTCATGGAAATATAGAGTATGTAATCTTTTTTATCTGACTTCTCTGACCCAGCATAACATTTTTGAAGTTCATCTACCCTGTTGTATGTATCAGTAACTCGGTGCTATTTTGTGGTCAAAGCATACTCCAATTATACACACTTTTTTTTTTTTTTATTTACTTGCTGTTGGACATCTGTGATACTCCAGGCTTGGGTTATTTTAAGTAAGGTCGCTATGAAAAACCACATACAACTATTTACGTGGACACCCATTTTTATTTTCTTAGGTAAAACAGCAGGTATTCTACAAATTACTGGGAAAGGAGTTGGAATCCCCAACCAGTTATAGACAATGCCTGGTTTCTCCTTTCAGTTCTATAAGGCTTTACCTCACTTATTTTGAAGCTCTCTGTTAGGTACTCACACATATAAGATTATTATGGGGTGTCTGGGTGGCTCAGTCAGGCAAGTATCCAACTTCAGCTCAGGTCACGATCTCATGGTTTGTGAGTTTGAGCCCTGCGTCGGCCTCTGTGATGACAGCTCAGAGCCTGGAAGCTGGTTCGGATTTTGTGTCTCCCTCTCTCTCTCTCTCTGCCCCTCTCCCACTCAGCTCTGTCTCTCTGTCTCTCTCTCTCTCTCTTTCTCTCTCTCTCAAAAATAAATAAGCATTAATTAAAAAAAAAAGATCATTATGTTCTCTTGATATCTTGGCCCCTTTATCATTATGTAATGGTTTTCTTTATTCCCAGTCACAATCTTTTCCTGAAGTCTTTATCTGAATTTATACAGTCCCTTCAACTTTATTTTTATCCCACTGTCATTCATTGTATTTAAATTCAGCATATATACACAAACATTAGCTACGGCAGTGGGAACTACAGCCCATCCTACAAGCTCTCCTATCATAATGCTTTTCTTTTTCCCTTTTCAACATCTTTAAGAAGCTATAACAAGATGGACTGAAATTCCTATGATGTAAGTGGATTAGACCGTGTAAGGAGTGGACTCTATGAACACGTCCACACTCCACGCAGGTCCCCATAATTCTCTTTTATTATTTATGTGCCCCACCCCCCACCACCACCGCCAGCTTTGTTACCCTTTTGTCTCTAAGAACCCATTCTTGTGGGGCGCCTGGGTGGCGCAGTCGGTTAAGTGTCCGACTTCAGCCGGGTCACGATCTCGCGGTCCGGGAGTTCGAGCCCCGCGTCGGGCTCTGGGCTGATGGCTCAGAGCCTGGAGCCTGGTTCCGATTCTGTGTCTCCTTCTCTCTCTGCCCCTCCCCCGTTCATGCTCTGTCTCTCTCTGTCCCAAAAATAAATAAAAAACGTTGAAAAAAAAATTAAAAAAAAAAAAAAAAAGAACCCATTCTTGCAATTCTCTTGATGAGACTGCCTTCAGACTGTCAGATCCCCTTTGTCCAATAAGCGGAGAGCCAAAAGTGCCTGGTAGTTTGCATCCCCAAAGCAGCCCTTAGCTAAAAACTGATTAACGTAGGAATTTGGAAGCCCAGTTCCCTTTCTACAACCTGTAATAATCTCCACGGCATAATTTCCACTCCCGGGCATCCCTGCAAGAGTAAGCTGAGGCTGGAAGTTTGCCTGAAAAATACCCTTGCTTGATTTCTTTCCCTTCTGCTTTCTTTACATTTTTACTCCTGGGAGCACTAAATCAGGGGTGTCTTTCAGCCAGTTTATGCCAGTTAAGAGCAACTCATGTAAGCCAAATGTTAAATTTTCAGGAATTTTGTCAGCTGGTTTGGAAACACAAATATACTAAAAAATCTAGAAGGCTACACATATGTCCAGGGCTCAGAAAAGAAATGAGAAGACAAGCTTTCAGCTCTGGCTGGTCGACAGGCTCCATGCAAGCAGGAAGTGAAAGCTAAAGTAGGATTGTAAATGGCCTGGCTTAGCACTGTGAAGGGTGACCTAATACAAAGAAAATCTACAAAGACCAAGATAGTATTGCTTTTATTTATTTGGACCAGCAAGGAAAAATATTCATAGAACTGTCCCTGACAAAACTTGGATATGGTACTTGCTAGGACAGACCTACGGAGATAAAGGACGCCGTAAAGTGTAACAACATAGACAAAAAGGCAATCCTAGAAGAGGAGAGAGAGAAATAGAAAGCGTATTTGAAGAAATAATCTCCCTAAATTTCCCCAGTATAATGAGTGGCATGAGTCCACACATCCAAAAATCTCAATAAACTCTAAGTAGGATAGGCTGAAAGAGACCCACACTGAGACACATTATAATCACGCTGTCAAAAACGAAGACAGAGAGAATCTTGAAAGAAGTAGAATAGGCAAAATTCACCACGTACAAGGGACCTTCAAGACAATTAATAGCCAATGTCTCACTGACAACCATGGAAGTCAGGAGAATTGTAGCCACAGCAAAACCATTCTTCAAAAATGAAGGAGATATTGGGGCGCCTGGGTGGCTCAGTCGGTTGGGCGGCCAACTTCGGCTCAGGTCATGATCTCGCAGTCCGTGAGTTCGAGCCCCACGTCAGGCTCTGTGCTCACAGCTGAGAGCCTGGAGCCTGTTTCAGATTCTGTGTCTCCCTCTCTCTCTGACCCTCCCCCGTTCATGCTCTGTCTCTCTGTCTGAAAAATAAATAAACGTTAAAAAAATTTTTTTAAATGAAGGAGATATTAATACATTTTCAGACAAACTAAAGCTGAAGGAGTTCATCGTATTTATAGATCTACCCTACAAGAAGGGTAATTCTTTAGTCTACAATCAAAGGATGCTACAGAGTAAAATAAAGCTATATGAAAAATCAAAAAACACAGGTAAAGGTAACTACACAGATAAACATAAAACCTAGTATTATATTTAACTTGTTATTTTTTTTTAGGTTTATTTATTCATTTTGAGAGAGAGAGAGTGAGTGGGCGGAGCAGAGAGAGAAGGAGAGAGAGAGAGAGAGAGAGAGAGAGAGAGATTCCCAAGCAGGTTCCGCATTGCCAATGCAGAGCCCGACATGGGGCTTGAACCCACCAACCATGAGAACTTGAGCCGGAATCAAGAGTCAAACGCTTAACTAACTGAGCCACCCAGGCGCCCCTAACTCGTTACTCATTTTTATGTCTATGTTATTCAAATGGAACATGCATAAAACAATTATAAATCTATGTTAATGGGAACACAATGTATAGCAGTGTAATTTGTAAAAAAAAATAATAATAACAATATAAGGGGGGCAGAGTTGCATAGGTGTAGAGTTTTTGTATATCACTTAAGTTGGTATTCATTCAAACTAGATTGTTTTAAACTTAAGATGTTAGTTGTAATACCTAGGGTAAGCGCTAAGAAAAGAACTGAAATATATACAGAAAAAGGAAATGAGAAAGAAATAAAAAAGACACAAGGGGAATAAATGAGTTAAACACAGAAGAAGGCAGTAATAGTGAAAATGAGGAACAAAAACGATATAAGACATATAGAAAGCAAATAGTAAAATGACAGAAATAAGTTCTTTCTTATCAGTAATTACTTTAAATGTACACAGATTGAACTCACCAATTAAAAGACAGATTGGCAGAAAGAATTGTAAAAAAACAAAAAAACAAAACACGTAATCTAACTGTTAAGTTGTCTATGAGAGACGCACATTAAGTTTAAAGTGAAATTATTTAGGGGCACCTGGGCGGCTCAGTCAGTTGGGCGTCTGACTTCAGCTCAGGTCATGATCTTGCACTCTGTGGCTTCGAGCTCCATATTGGGCTGTCTGCCGACAGCTCAGAACTCGGAGCCTGCTTCGGATTCTATATCTCCCTCTCTGCCTCTTCGCCACTCTCACAAATAAATAATACATAAAACATTTTAAAAAATAAAGTGGAATTATTTCTGTTCCATGCAAAAAGCAAATAAAACCTGGGGTAGCTATATTGATATCGGACCAAATAGATTTTATAAAAAGTTATTACAAGAGACAAAGGACATCATGTACTGACAAAGGGTCATTCCATCAAGAATATACAATGATTATAAACATACATACATCTTTCTACGGAGTCTCCAAATATATACAGGAACACTGAATCTTACAATCCATGAACACGAAATATCTCTCCATTTGATTAGATACAGCTTTCTTTCATCAGAGCTTTGTATTTTTCCACATGTAGATCCTATACATATTTGTTCAGATTCATACCTAAGGATTTTAATTTTTGATGCTATTTTTAAATAATATTTATTTTAAAATTTAAATTCCAACTGTTCATTACTGACATATGGGAAACCAACTGACTTTTGTACATTAACCTTGT